CGAAACCTGTCCTACTTTGACACAAACAAGGCGACAGAACTGCTCGTGGATGCCAGTCCGGCGGGACTCGGCGCAATCCTCTATCAAAAGGAGAAAGATGGATCAACCGCTATCATAGCGTACGCAAGCAAGTCTCTGACAGATGTGGAAACAAGGTATAGTCAGACCGAAAGAGAGGCGTTAGCAATCTCCTGGGGAATACAACACTTTCATCTATATCTATATGGAACTACATTCAGAATCATCACAGATCACATGCCCCTGACCTATATCTTTAACAAACCAAACGCGAAGCCACCACTGAGGATTGAGAGATGGTTGCTCAAACTGCAACAATACCACTTCGAGGTCATCTATCAGCCCGGAAGAGACAATCCGGCCGACTATATGTCAAGACATCCGCTACCAAGGTCAAAGGAACTTCATCACATTTGCACAGCTGAGGAATATGTGAACTACATTTCACAGCAGTCAGCACCCAAGTCACTATCACTTGAAGAAATCAAGGAAGAAACGATGAAGGATCCTACGCTACAAACAGCGATACAACTACAGAGAAGCGGCAGATGGCATGACCACAAATCAGCAGAAAACTGCGACAAATCCATCGAGGTGATAGCTAAAGTACAAGGCGAACTGACCGTGAATCAAGACCAGGACCTACTCCTACGTGGAAACAGAATCATTATCCCAGCGACACTCCAAAGCCGAGTAATCGCGATAGCACACGAAGGACACCAAGGGATATCAAAGACGAAGGCACTACTGCGAGAAAAAGTATGGTTTCCTGGGATAGACGACAAAGTGAATGAAACGCTAAAGGGATGCCTTGCATGTCAAGCAACGACAAAAACGCCAACTGCAGTACCGCTTCAGCCAACCGTTATGCCAGAACACCCGTGGTCAGAACTATGTGCAGATTTCTGGGGACCATTACCCAGCGGAGATTACCTCATGGTAGTGATCGATGAACACTCAAGGTATCCAGTGGTAGAACACTTGAGGTCGACATCTGCACAGGCAGTCATCCCGGTGTTAGACAAGATCTTCGCCATGTTTGGTACCCCTGAAGTACTGAAGACGGACAACGGCCCGCCATGGACGAGTACTCAGATGAAGTCATTTGCTGACTACCTTGGATTCCACCATCGGAAAGTCACTCCATATTGGCCATGCGCCAATGGAACCGCCGAAAGGTTTATGAGAGTACTGGGGAAAACAGTAAAGGCAGCGGTGGTCGAAGGAAAATCATGGAAACAAGAATTGCACAAGATGCTACGAAGTTATCGTGCAACTCCTCACACAACTACAAACCACCCTCCTGCAACACTGCTCTTCCAGCGAGCCATGAAAACCAGGCTACCAGATCAGCAGAACTGACACTGAAACAACCAGAAGTCAACAAGGAAGCAAAACAGAATGATCAGAAAGCAAAGATGGAGATGAAGAAGTACACTGACAGAAAGAGAAGAGCGAAGGAAAACAACATCGACATAGGAGATACCGTCCTAGTGTCACAGAGAAAACAGAACAAGCTCACACCTCCATATGACCCCAAGCCACACCGAGTGATTGGAAAGAAAAACACCATGATCACTGCGGAAAACAACGGCAGAAGAATAACGAGGAACGCAACATTCTTCAAGAAAATAAAGATCGAAGAAGAAGACAGCGAAGACGACTGCCTAGAAGAAAACAACACTGAAGAGAACAAAACTGAAGATCATGCTGTCGTGCATCGATGTCTGGTGGATGACTGGTTATCTCGTTGATATCACGACGATGCCCAGGAGATATGAGAGTTGACTGTGATCTTTATTTACATGGTTTTCTCAGTGTGTTCTTGTGACCCACAATGCAATGCGGCCAAGGCCCCTTATGTGGTTTATGCTTACCTGATGATTATCAGACTATGTAACATCCCTTTTTCTAATTAAAAAATAAAATACTTTCTCTGTCATGTTCTTGTGCTGACTTAGGAATATATATAGACTTATAGATAATGTTCTATGGT